TTTTTTTTTGGTAAATCTTGATGTTTAGCTGGTGGTCACAGTTTGATTTTTCATCTACATTGGGGATTTCGTTACAGTAACCCAGCTGGTATCTGAAATGCTTGAACAGTTGCTGCTCATTTTTTTTCGGTAATTGCATCCAACTGCCTGGTAAATACAACAAGAAAGTCGTATTCAGCTGTTTCAAACCATAATATTGTTATATTTTCAATATTGTTAGTAAATTGCAGTATTACAGATATCCCGAGTTATCGTAGCCGCTGGTAAAGGCGCTGCCAAAAAGTTGCCATCGTCGAACAAAAGTTCATCAGCATTGCGGCGAACTACCGCTGGGTACGTCTAAGTATTATTATTTTTTTTTTAGCTCCCTTTGAGATGATTATCGTTCCGATTTGAACTCCTCATCTGGGGGCCGTTCGTGGCACTAGCGCCCAGAGATAGTTGGGTAGGGAACCAATTACCAGCGGGAACTGTTTTCAGAGAACAATTTGACGATTTGCAAGATTATTTGAAGTTTTCCAATGTCCCAAAAGCAATGTTAATGGTTGTTCAGGGTGCGACAGCGGCCGTATCCATCACAAGGAATCCGTGTGGAATTAGCAGCGACACCAGCCACCGCGTACGACCTTCGCTCTCGTTTTGCCAACTCTTCTCCGAAAAACACTTTGCCAGATGCTGCACTCAATCTTCCAGCCAACACCGAAGCACTTATTGGAGTGAGTTGATTGTGTTTATATATTTGGTTGAGAAAAAAAGCTTGAGATCACGGGAAAGCTTCTACTCTGTTAGTTTTTCAAGCCATGTTTATGACGGTTATGAAAAACAGGGAACAAACACGCTGCGGTTAGCTTCTTTGCGTCAGCTGACTTCCGTCGCATTCCTTTGTTCTTTGTCGCCGCTGACGTGTGTCACTTCGAAGAAAAAGTTGGGTGAACAAAGATGGGTGTAGAAGGTTAGCCCATTGGTAAGCGGCTAGCTTGTGTAGCGCAATACGTGGCCAAAGCTCCACCCAAGAAAGATTGCCTTCTGAATTTTGTTTTGTGGCTTGATCTCCATTTTCGCATTATTTCGCTATTGACGGAGATGTTTTTTTTTCGGTTTCCAGTAGAAAGCTTTGTCAGATCAACGTGACGCATTTGAGTCCACATGAAGCCCTTTTATTTACTTGTTCGTTCATTGCTTTTAGAAATTTGTAACTCTTGTAACGTTTGTCCACCAACGAACTACTATTGCGTGCTTTATAGCCGTCGAGGCGCATGCGCGTCACGTTTTCGTTCTTGTTCGCGTTTTCGTTATCATGATTCGATCAACCTTGCGGTGTTAAGTGGATTGAGGGCCACAGGCGGCGGCGCGGCGCTCTGTTCGTCTGCCCCTCCAAGGCTTAGTCCGCCGATGGCGCGTATTTCGAAACTGCCACGTGGCGACGAAATAGTAACTGCCCCTTGGACTAAGCCTTAGAGGAGCAGACGAACAGAGCCGCGCCGCCGCGCGTGCCCCCCCCCCCCCCCCACCCCACCACCACTTAGCACCCACCCTTGTTTATTGGATTTTGCGTTGGCAACCTGTCATCACCACGTACGGCAAATGGTACATCATTACCAACAATGGGATTTTTGAAGGAGCAGTGACGGTTTTAAAAAGGAATTAACCAAAGATGCCGAAATACACATACAGCGGGCTTTCTTCTTTGTTGATGCATCTTTGATCAAGAAGTTTTGCTGCCAATGGAAAGAAGTGAAAGTGAAGGTATTGTTCAAGGAAACATTGAATAATTCACGAGGGGAGTCTGTTTTTAGCCTTTTTCAGACGACTGAAAGCAAAGTTCACGAATTAGTTTTTTAGAAAATTTTACCTGTGATATATGTTAATTTGTAAATTACAGGCAAGAAGAACTAAACAGCCGTCGTAGAGGAGCCATAGCTACTGAGAAGTGGTAATTGCTAATCTGTGAAGTTTTCTCTACTTAGTGCACAAATGTGATTCTCTAGAAAAAATGGATTAGACAGGCAACAGACAGACATGCCATCTTCAAGCATTTCTTTGAAGAAGGTATGCACCTGACACCGCCTACGCTAGTCATATACATTTTCTCGTCATTGTAAAGGTATCTCTGTTGTTTTAATTCTACACATTTAGTTATTAGGTGATCTATATTTCTATTCAGCTTAGTTCTTTACATTACAGCATTTATATCTACTTTTATGTGCAACTGAATCGCTGGCGATTTGCTCACAGTTCATATATTTGCAGCGATCTCTAGATCAGCGAAATCAGTGTTTTTATAAGTAGCGGTTTTCCCGTTTTGAAATGCAGTTCTTGTACAACTCTGTTGAGTACTACTACCGTGTAGAACCCTTATTTGCTACTTTTTGTGCGTTTACATCCCACTAGAACGGTCTCGTCCCAAATGCCGAAGGGTTGGTACAGGTCATGTGCGGTGCGCGGTGCGTTGCGTCTCTTGGGCAAGTTGGAACGAAGGATTGATAGTACCGAAATTAATTCATTAGAGGCAAAACGCGGGATCCAAGTGATGTGTGGTTGTGCTTGTGAGTGAAATGTGAAATGAAATGAATGATAATAACAATAATGAAAAAAACGGTAAGAAACCATCGACAAGGACGCAAATAAGATCCCCTTCTTAGTAGCGGCAAGCGAAGCAGCATTGATTTGTGGGCGGGGTCAATTGTGTTGGGCGGGGCTAATGTTACATCCTAGGGTGTCAGCTTTTAGGCCTTGTTAAGTCGTGGCGCCAAATGGGTACATGCTCTGCCCTTTTTTCACACTCCATAATAGCTTCGTTTTGTCCAGAAACCCCGATTTCTGCCTTAAGGAGCTCCGAAAAATCAAACTGCTGATCATGCATTTATGCCATTTCGCGTGGTGCGGCCACACGGCGCGCGCGCTCCGCACACCCGTGCCATATCATTCCTAAATTTGGAACGAGGCCGTTTTTTCAAGGGCCAAGCCATTGGTCTTTTAGGGCTTCACTTGTCTAACAAGCTTATTTTAATTTTTCTGAATGTGTACATCTCATATTAAGCCAAAAATGTGTTTTACAGCCTGATCATGTGACCTCGTGTAATTTATTTCATGCCACCACGAATGGTTCCGCAATATTTTGCACTAGCACCTCTGCCCGTCTGTTTACTGTTTAGCGACGGTACTTAGTAGGTCGTCTACTCATTAATGTGCCCTCTTTTTGTACACACTGC